TAACTTCCATAAGCTAAGTCAATTTAGAGAGAATTTCGCATTGGGATTAATTTGATTAGCATAATATAATTTTGCCACAAAAATCTAAATTAAATAGTGACAATATTACACAAGTCGCAAGATCAAAAATCTGTTATGCTCGGAATCATCTCTTGCGCCACAGGTGACAATTATCCAAAATTTAATTTAATTTATGCGCAAAATATTGATTTTCGGGAGTTAATCTACAAAGATATCTCTCAACCAAATAACCTCTCACTGATTATGGCATGTCTAAAAGTATGATAAAAAATTCTAATTCCATACAATAGCATCATAATGTAGATTCACAACCAACTTATGCTATGTCACAATTAATAATGGAATTTAAACAAATAACAATTAATCATGCTATTCTCATTACAACATATTAGAAACTCTAGGCAAAAAATAACAATATGCTGTATTTAATATTCAAATTATGCCATAACAGAAACTATATCACTTCTGAAATTTTCTAGAATTTTTCTAAAATTTTCTGAAATTTTAAATAACTAATAAACACACATAAAATTAGAAATAAAAAAATCCAGAAACTGATAAACTGAAACAATATTCAGATTATGCCATAATTAAAATGTACATCATTCTGAAATTTTCTGGAATTTTTCTGAAATTTTCTGGAATTTTAAATAACTAATAAACACACATAAAATTAGAAATAAAAAAATCCAGAAACTGATAAACAGAAACAATATTCAGATTATGCCATAATCAGAAGTCTACAATAAAAATTTCAACCCCAGAAAATTATTTATGCAATACCAGAAGCCTTTTAAAGCATAAAACATGAATTATTAACACAAAAAAATATTTTTTATTTTCGTAAAATTTTCAAAATTTTACAGAAGATAAAAAAAATTAATTCTGAATCTAACAGTATAAACCACGCTTAAAACAAAGCTATAACGAATTAATTATGACAATTTAACGTAATTCAGAATTAAAAAAAAAACAAACAGAGCCTTATAACCAAGCCAGCAAGCCAGCGGAGGAAAAACGGTGCGGCTCAACGCGCAGCTCGGCGCGCAGCGCGTGCGTGTGGCCCGAAGGGCGTGCGCGTGGACAGCGCCGCTGATTCGCGCGTGGAGGCTCGTCGGAAGCGCCTCTGGTGCGTGGAGGCGCGTAGAAGCCTCCCACTACGTCAGGTGGCGCGTGAGGCCCACGCTCCGCCTTCCAGGGTGTTTTCTGGTTCGATTTTGTACTGCCGGACTCCATTTTTCACAACAAAAACATTTATGGCATCAAAAAACACATTTAATGAATATAAAAATGAGGTGTACCACACTCTCAATCTAATGGGAGTTGAAATTTTCCTCCTTTATAAACATTCATGCATATATCATGTGTATACATTTATATAAAAATATACACATATTTTAATGCATAAAAATAAGCATGAAAATACCCATTTTGGCTCTGATACCAATGTAAATCATAAAGCATAATAACGCAGCGGATAAAATATCAGAATCATACCTTGTTGACAATAACCTCGTGGGTAAATCACGTGCTTCTAGAATTTGATCAATCAACCCAGCAGTGGAGTGATACTGCAAAATGAGTTTCACCCACACAAGTCACAGTACAGAGGCTTGATCATTGTTTTAATGGGAGAGAGTCAGAGAGAGAAAGTTTTGGAAAAAATGTTATGGGTAAAAACCACATAACGTATATCTAATATTCGTATCTGATCTATTAAATATATTATATATAAAATATATTAATTAGATACAACAACCAATATCTATCTATCCATCTATCCATATCTATTGATATGATAGATATAGATATCCTGAATGGTTATCCAAATAAGTTTTGAATTCAAATTCAAACTTACATGGATAAGGTTCAAAAGGTTCAAGTTCAAAAGGTTCAAAGGGTGATGCCACATGGGCGCCCAATTTTTAACACCTGGTATTGGACTTTTTTCCATTGTTTTGTGACAACTTGGATGACGCATATTTGCTCTTCAAGAAATATACATACACCCACTCTGTCAATTCATATCGAAACACTAACAATTCATATTTGAATTCAATCATATTCAACCCTTTCTATTGCTAGAGAATTGGCCATGACAAGTGTAAAGCTTATAGGAGGTCATTCACCCAAAGAAAACAAGCTTGCAGTAGGCTCACCAAGCCCATTTGTGAATAGGGATTACAATTTGAACCCGGTCCGACGGGGACCCAATTCCCCGACCCCAAATTAAGTGGTTTTTCTCCGAAAAATATCTCTGACGGGACGGGAACGGTATTAAAAAATCAATCCCCGATCAATTTCGGGTCGGGGACGAGAATAAGTGTCCAAGCCCCGTACTTGCCATGTCCCTGTCCCCGCCCCGGTTTGTTCCTCGAAGTAAAATTACAATTTTACCCCTATATATATATATATAAACCAGGCCTAAAACATTACATTTACACACTCACTCATACTAACACGCAGAGACGAGATGCTCCTCCCTCACCGCTGCTCTCTCTTCTCTCTCACCGATGCTCCTCCCTTACCACTGCTGTGCTTCCTCACCGCCGATCCTCCCACTCTCTCTCACACATACGACGGCGACGGCTCATCCTCACTTTCTCACCGGCATCGCGGCGGAAACTCCTCTCCCTCTCACGGTATCTCATCTCCTCTCTCTCACGGTATCTCCTCCTCACTAGTTACTCTCTCTCTCTCTCTTTGATTTTTGCTTTTGTTCTTCAGATCTGGAAAATAATGAAGATGAAGATGAAGATGAAGATGAAGATGTTGAGCTCAGATCTTTTTTTTTTTTTTTGATAAATAAGCTCAGATCTATTGTTGATGATCTAATATGTAAGATGATGTGTTAGATGATGAAGATGATGAATCTCAGATCTGCTTTTTTTTTTTTTTTTTTTAGAGGATGATGAAGAACATATATGATTTGGTGGTGTTGTTGGATCTGTTGTTGTTGTTGGATATCTATATTGTTTTTGTTTTTTTTTTTTGGCCGGAGAGTTTTCGAGGTCGGGGAAACCTGATCCCTGTTAGGGGCGGGGAGTGGGGGCAGTGATAGGTTCTCCGTTGGGGATCGGGGCTGGGGACAAAGAAATTTCCACCATCGAGAATCGGGGACGGAAAATGTGATCCCCGGCCCCGCCCCGTTGCCACTCCTATTTGTGAACCGGGTTCAAATTGCTTTGAACCTAAAATCAATCGACTATGAATTCTTACCAGAGACATTTGGTTCCAAAAGTGAGCTTCTTTTAAATCAAATCCGGTCAATAAGAAAATACCGGTTCTTATCCACCACGACAAGCCTATATGCGAATCTCTCATCATTGTTCAATACATCGATGAGTTGTGGACATTTGATTCCTCCATCCTCCCTTCTGATCCCTAGGATCATGCCATAGCACGATTTTGGGGAGCCTATATTGATGATAAGGTATCGTTTTATCATTTGTTGAATTTCTTGAATCGAAGAGTAATGACATATAGATAATTTTTGTTTTCATTTTTATTTTGTAGCGTGATACGTAGTGAAATGACATGATAGAACAAAGGGTGTGAATGAATGTATGTTCCAGTTTTAAAGAGTTATTTAGCAAATTAATTTTGGAAAAAATATCTCTGAAAACAACCCAATTTTGAGAAAGCATCAAAAAGTGGTTTTCAAAACTTGTAATATTTTAATTTTTTTTTTTTAAAAGAGAAGCATTTTCAAACTTTTCATTGTTTTTGTTTATGGTAATACAAAGAATTTGTTTGGTATATTATTTCTTTTTTATAAAAATGGAATTAATTCTCAAAATTTTAAAACATTTGGAAATAAAAAAAATGAGTTATCTTTTATTTTCAAAACAAGTTTTTCACTCCTTCCTGTCTTCCCCACTTGTGACTTCCGACAATACTTTGACTACAATCTCTAGTCATCCCGCATTGAGCTACTGTGTTTAACAACTCAACAAAAATGTTTATTTATTTTTTATATGCATTTATTTAAAAATATTTATGTATATACCAAAAAAATATATGCTTTTTTCGTTTCTTTGTTGTTGTTGTTGTTGTTGTTGTTGCTGCAGCAGTGTTTTCCATTATTAGTGGAAATTCGAAAGGCAAAAGGAGTGGAAGAGAGATTGGAAGCAGTAGACAAACTGGTAGCAATGCTGGTGTTGTTAGAAAAGCACTTCATCAACTGCAGCAGTGAAGGAAATGGTAATTTCTTCGGTGGTGGCAGCATTGGTTACGTGGACATAGCACTCGGGTGCTTCTTGGGTTGCTTCAAGGCGAGGGAGAAGATGTTCGATGTAAAGGTGCTAGACATAACCAAGACGCCGCATCTTGTAGAGTGGGCAGAGAGGTTTTCCTCAGATGATGCAGTGAAAGATGTTATTCCAGAAGCTTTTGGAGTTTGCTAAAGTTAATCTGATGAAGTGAAAAAAAAAAGCTCACTAGTCTGACTGACATGCATTGAGTTGGGTTGGGTTACTTGCTAAGTCCATGAACTGGGAAGCTTTCATTGTGAACATTTTTAAACTTGTTTTGTTTTTCCCTTCTATTATAAGTAAAAATAAGTTTAGATGTTAGGAGAAAAATATTTTACCAAAACTGTCTTAAAACTGTCTCAAAACTGTCTCTCGTTGATTAATCAGCTGATCGGCACAACTTAAAATAACTTGTTGAAAAAATGTAGTAAGAAATTAGAAAAAAGTTAAAATGGTTAGCGTGTAAAACTTATCACATGGATTCAAATGTGAAACAATACATGATTGTGTGCTAGACTAATGATGTTTTCTGATTTTTTTTCCAAACTACATCTATATTTTTGAACCATGCAGGTATATAATCATTTATTATTAGGTGAGTACGTACATAGCCAACATTGTATTATAAAAATTTTGAATAATTACAAAGTTAGTTTCTCTCGCATCCCCTCTTTCGCTACTCTTTGATGATTTGATTATCTCTCAACATAAATAAACATCCAACACTGGCAAAAATTTAGAAAGTTTGAATGAAATTTTATATTACAATGGAAGATCACAACCCTCATAGCACCGTGTGATATTGCCAATGTAGTACTTCTAACCAATATAAAATCACAACACTTGAATAAAATTTCTTGTCGCTGATAAAAGAAAAAACGGTTGTATGGATGTACATTTTCTTGTTATAAATTCTCCACCCATTGGATTGCTATTTGAGACCTGTGAAACTTTGAAGAAAATTTAATTTATTTATCAAACATCATGAATGAATTGCATTTGATAAGTTGAGATACAATAGATTGAAATGATTTAGTCATGCACAACAAAAAAAGAAAAAATTGTAAATGTAATGATAATGAAAACTAATATGATTACTATAGATGTAAATGTTTGGAAAAACATATATAAATTTATTTTATTTAATTAAACATATAGCATTTGATATAGCAAAATATAAAATAAAAGATAAAAAAAATTATACAACATATCCTATTTAATTGGGACACAAGACTTGATTTGATTATTCTATTCAATTAATCAAATCTGCCTCTTATTTCAACCCCATTGGTAGACATGCCTATTCCATTTCCGAGCTCTACTTTTTTTTTCTTTTTACTTTTTTCTTCCTCATATGCTCTTTCTAAGATAAAATACATTCATGGTTCCTAAGCGTTTTGTGTCACTTTGATATTTCAATTTTAATTTTACCAATTTGTTCCAACAGTTTTGTAATTTGAGTCAAATCCAACGGTTTTGCAATTTGAGTCAAATTAGTCTTATTTTAAGTGAACTGGCTAAATTCTTACCAGAATCATAATGAAATACATTTATAATATCTAAAATATAATTTCACGTCACTGCATTTCCTAAATTTTTTAGTTTTGTCACTTGGGTCCTACACATTGATAAAGAAAATAAAATGCAACTTTTTAGTGTTGATGGACAAAATTGACAAAATCAAAACTATGAGAACAAGAACGACACAAAACACATAGTTTAGGGATCATAATTTAATTTTATAATTATCCCCTTGAAAAATGCTTGAGAGCACTAAAAAATGAGCACTAATGATGTGGCAGTAGACCCCGCCCACTTTCTATGCCTTGTTCTTTTCTTTTTTTTTTTTTACCATTCTCAATGTATTAGTGCTATTAGTGATGTATTTTTTAGTAGTCTAAATCATTGTTGTTATTCCCTTAACAAATTTGACTCAAATTGCAAAATGAAAAATGCTTGGGAGCACTAATTAGTGCTCCCACTAATTAGGTGGCAGTGAGTCCCGCCATTAATGATGTGATGTTTTGGTCTTGGAGTTGTATTTTTTTTTTTTTTTACTTTTTTAATGCATTAGTGCTATTAGTGGTGATATTTTTAGTGGGATGAATCATTGTTGTTGCAAAATTTCAAGAATGAAATTGTCAAAATTAAAACTTCGAGTACTAAAATGACAAGAAATAGTACATACTTTAGGGATCTTAGATAAATTTTACCCTTCCTTTTGTACATTGGTGTGAAATTTCAATTATTTTTGTCCTCCTCTTCATCATAGTTGAAAGGCAAAGGTACTGTCTTGAATGCACGATACTTGCCTACATTATTCAAATGTTCATTCTCCAACCTAGTTAATCAACAAACAAACAAAACACAAAAATTAGTAAATTAAATAATTAATTACAAGTTCTAAGAGTCATGTTAAGTTGTGATTAAAGAAAGTGAGGTAATGAAATCTTGGGACCAAAAAAAAAAAATCTTGGCAATATCTTGAAAATACCTGAAGAAACTCCACATGCCACGTCGAAAAATCTCTAGGGAGGCTATAAGTACACTTAGGGTTGGTTTGTGTGAGTAAAAAAATTTCAAGACTGTTTGTAGCCAGGCAAATCTCAACAAGACATTCAAAATCTGCATTTTTCATTGAACTTGGTTAGAAGTTATTGAGCTTGGAAGTTCATACAATTATGTAAAGAGTAAATTATGCTTCACACCTTTACACTTTATACAAAATCTCACTTTGGTCTTCGAATTTTCAACTATAATAGTCAATCCTTTACATTTTCGGTCAAAGTACAATGTGATTTTTCTATTAATTTGGTGTTAGATTTACTAATGAAAATTGTCACATGACCCTTATACGAGGCATTTTTTAGGGGACAATGTAATTTTCTTTCTCTCAATTTGTCTACTGTACTCTCAACTGAAAACGGAAATTTTCTTCTCTATTTTTTGTTACTGTTTTTCACTCCACAGCTATTTCTGTACAGTATTTTCACCCTGTACTGAAAAGAAAATCTTATTTTCTATATGTCTACTATATTTTCACTCTAAGGCAAAATAAAAAAATAAAAAAATAAAAAATAAAAAACCTTTTCATCCTAAAAAATGCCTTGCGTGGGGGTTACACGGCAATTTTTGTCAACAAATTTAACACCAAACTAATAGAAAGGCCATATGGCATCTTCACCAAAAAATGTAAGAGATTGACTATTAGAATTAAAAAATGACACATCAAAGTGAGATTTAAGGTGCCAACAGTAATTTATCTCTTACTCACCATGGCTACAAAATAGACACTTTTGTGTGGAACTAGGAGCTTGTCTCTCAACCAACGGTTCTTAGAATTCTTCTGAAGAAGGCCCCAATCTATGACAAGGTCCCAATAGGTACCAAAGATTGCTGCAATCAGTGAGGAAATGAAAGCTATAGCCTTCCAACCAATCCCTTGTTTGAGATCATAAGCTGTCCTCATAGTCACAGCTATTATGGTTGAGAAATATTTCAATGCATTGATTCCTTGCATACCATCTCTCTCGTCGTACAGGCGACGAAGGCACTTGGAAGATAAGAAAAAAAGTGTTTTAGGAGAGTAATTTTTGTGGAAATATTTCGAAAACCAAAGAACTTGACTTTGAGCTTATGTATGAAATTTCAGCCAACTTAAGTTCCAATTTCAAGCAATTTCACAAACTAAGGTGTCATTTTAATAATTAAAAAAAAAAAAAAACTTGTTCGGTGTACACAATGAAAACAAAAATGAAGAAACATGTTCAGTGAGCTGTCGGTGGTGGTGCTAGCAGTTGAGAGTGGACAAATATGGTGGCTAGAGGTGGGGTGGGCCGGGGAGGGCTGCCAGCATGTTGCCAGAGGTCATGTGCAGTGACTGTTCGATCACCTGGAGTCTACCTGATCTTGTAGGAGCCCAATGGAGGGTTGTTGCAGCCGGCTGGTGGCTGTGGTGGGTGGAGGTGGTGGGAGAGGAAGGAGAGAGTGCAAACTTGTTTTGAAAATAAGTCAAATATTTTTTTCTCTGTTTTCAAAAAATTAAGTTTTCATTTTCAATTTAAAAAAGGAAAAAAAAAAAGCAGAAAAAAATGAAAATATTACCAAACCAGGTCCAAATTGTTCATGTTTGGGGAAAAGCTGAAGGTAATTTTGGATAAAGTTTCAAAGCTATCAACCAATGCGTCTCAAGTTTTCTTATCATTTCAATACCGATACATTCTAGTTAGAATGAAAATCACATCAAACAGTGAGTTGCTGACATGTATCAGTTTATAGTTGATTAAAGATTTGATAAGACTGCTATAAAAAACATTTTTGTGGCTAATGATTTAAAAAAATTGACACCCATATCACCCAATTCCTGATATGTTGTGGGGATATATTTTCTGAGTACCAACACGTGGCAAGGTGACGCCGACGTGTCAGCCGAGGTGCCACGTGTCTTGGTCGTTGTGCTGAGGTCATCTCGGCTAGGCCGAGGTTGCCTCCGAAGATATCGGAATCCGAGATAAGCGGATAAGGGACAAGAGTCCTAGAATGAAGAGGGAACTCAACTTGGATATGGACAAGAGTCTTAGATTGAGAGAAGACTTCAGTTTGGGTAAAGATAAGACTCTTAGAGAGTTTATCCTAATCTCACTGGGAGTCCCAGATTAGCAGTAATCCTAAGTCCATTAGGGCCAGGCTCCTTTTGGGACTAGGATTGTATTGGCTATAAAAGAGAGGCACCCCCATGGGTCTAAGGTATGCTTTTGATACTCAAGCTTGTGAGTTTAGTACTTGATTATCTTTGAGAAACATACTGACTTGATCGTCGGAGTGCCCCCGGGTGGTCGAAACCACCGCGGGATTCTTATATTTCTGTTGCAGGTCCGTCAGGTGCCATCTATTCTGCCAGTGCTCTCCAGCTGGTTACTAAGCGGGCAGTGTGGTCGGAAAATCACCCACACATGTATCACTCAATATTTAAGATACCTCAACACCACGACTGATATCGATTCGTATCCCGAGACCGCTATTTAAAAACTATAAGGGTCATTAGAGCTCATAAGCTTGCAAGAAAACCCTGAAATTGGAAGAAACAACGACTGACTTACCTGAAGAAAACGAGACCAGTAGGGAATTGCAGCAATAATGAAATAAAGTGTGTTGTAGAGATTATTTGTTTTGCAAGTATTTTCTCTGTTCTTATAGTCTCCCCAACCATAGTAGCAAATGTAGAATTCCAGACTTCTAAATCCTTGCACCTATAATAAAAAGAATACTCGACACTCGAAATCATTTCAAACAAACGAGGAGGCATATGTATTGAAACTGTTTGGCAGCAGTTAAAAAAGCCACTTTTTTCCCCTAATTTTTTTTTGTTTTTAGTGATTTTTTTATTTTTTTTAAGAAAATTTGAATCATTTTTTTTTAATACTATTTTCGGTTTGTCTAGTCTAGTAGGATTTAAAAAGTAAATTTTTTCTTGAAAAAAATCTAAATTGAAGTTCACTGAAGTATTAAAAAAAAAAAAATCAACATTTTAGTTTTTATTTAACTCTTCTTTTTTTTTTTCTTTTTTTTTTAATTTACTTTTTTGATCTATCTAGTTTAAGCATAATCAAAAAGTGTTTTGTTTTGTTTTGTTTTTTTTTTTTTTTTGTGTGTAAAATTACAGAAAAGTTCACCAAAAAAATAATTTAAACCCAACTTTAGCCTAACAAAAGCCCCACCTACTCACCTGGCTTGTTAATTGGTCCGCTAAGAAAAAATCAGGAAGTGTCACCTGCATAGGAAAGAAAACGTCAGGCAAATAAATTATTCAAATTCTTGAATGTTTTTCCTTTGAAAATTTCAAAGTATACAGAATTCGATTATAGAATTTGACACAATTCTCTTAGTGGGGTCAAAATTGTGTCTAGTTTTATGATCGAATTTTGTACACTTGAAAGAGCTGTTTTCTTATAAGGTCACACCATCAACCAAAGTTTACCTTGTACAGAGGAGCGCAAATACAGTGAAACATACAACGAAGAAAAAAGAAGCGATTTGATCGGAAAATGATATTAAACGGGCAGAACAACATGGCAATGAAGAGCTGCAATGAAAGTGGAATTTCAATTTTAAGCAAAATTGAGAAATGGAAAACACAAAAAAGCTTGGTTGTGAACTTCAATGCTGTACTTCAATAATAGGTAGAGAGCTTTCCCGTTATTTTGGATTAAAATGCATTGTTAACAATTCTAATGACAAATATTAAATGATCAAACTACCCTTCCTGTTTCTTTTTACTCTTATCAGCTCTCTGTCTTCAGTTAATACTCTTTATTTGTTAAAATTTCACCTACTTTCAAACTTAATAAAATATTAGCCAATTTAAACTTAGATTTAAGTAAAATAGTTAAAAACTAAGTAGTTATTAAAAAAAAATGTGTATAATTAACTAAAAGACATTAATTACCAAATAAATATTAATTATATATTAATAAGGTATATAATTAACTTGATTTTTAATTACATGTACAATTTATGTCTATAATAATGTGTGTAATAGCTTTAGGTAGGTTTTGGATGAAAAATGTGAAGAAAAGAGCATTTTTGTCCATTTGCTTTGAAATTAGACTTTTGACTCTATTTGAAAGGATACGTGACCACTTTCCGTTAGTTTAGATAGATTTTTTAATAGAGTGAAATAAAGTGTTAAACAGTCAAAATCACTAGAAAACACTTTGCCTATTATTGAAGAACAGGGACTGCAAACGACCCAAATAGTAAGATGATAAAGTCGATTTTGCCCTTAATTAAACTTACCCCTAAAAGTGCCTGAGGTACAAGTTCAGTGAATTCTTTGAAACGTTGAGTTTTAGGATCCATTTCCATAGCAAGGTTTGCAAGTGCACCTGCTATTGCAAACACTGCAACACCAAAGCTGAGGAGAAGAACATCTTTGCATCCCAATTCAGTTCCTTCTTTGAAACCAAATATAAATGGATAATTCACTCTGTATCTCTTCCAAAAGTATATATTTGCAGCATACATGAGCAGGTGAAGTGCAATGAATCCAAACAAGCTGCAATACTAAAATTTAACATGTCAAACAAGTACCAAGTTTGGTGGCCAAGTGACTTTTTAATGAGTGTTCATCGTGTGAAATCTATTGCAAATAGGGGTAAGTATTGCTCGTGCTTGGCCTAAGTTAGAACAAATTTAAAAAATAACCTCGTGCCCAAATCTGGCTCGGTTTGATATCGGGCTTAAAAGTTTCAATCTCAAGTTTGGTCCAAAAATTAAATTACAATCCCAAACCCGCCTAATGAACACCCATATATTAAAGAAAAAATAAAATTTATAAAATAAGAATTAATAATTTTGTAGTCAAGTCGGCACAAATATTTAATTTTTGTTTAGTATATTCTAAGTATAAAGCTTGATGGGTGTGCTTTTCCTCTCTAGTGTATCTACTTTAATTTAAACAAAAAGGGAACTACATAAATTATAAATGTTTGTTTATGTAATATATAAATTATACTAATGATTGGGCTAGACTGGGTTGGGCTCAAGGAGAATTCTCAAACCCAGTTCATTAATAAACGAGCTTAAAAGTTTGTTACAATCAAGCCTTATAAACTTAAATATCAATCCTAACTCCTTCAAAATGTGAGGTGAGTTGGGCAATCTAATGGGCTTGTGCTGAGCCCTAATTACAAATTGATGTTTACCCCTCATTTTTTAGCATAAACAATAAACACTCAAGAAAAAATATCATTTGGTGTAGCTCTAATTTACCTATAAAGGGGAAACATGGTTTCCATGTACTGGTACTTGCGCTCATGGTTTACGATATTGCGAGCATGCGTAACCAAAACAAGTGCAAATAAGAAAGCAACTGTGCAGCCACATAGAAAGCCTGAAATTTCAATCAACAGATTAAAGAAAAGGCGACAACAAATTAAAATATTCAGATGTAAAAGAAATTAGTTTCGTAGATAAATCATTTGAAAAACTTTGTTGTAATATAATAAATCTTACCTAAGGTGAATGTTACTCTATGCCTTTCTCTCTTTGCTTGTGGTCTCAAGATGTTCAACCCTTTACGTCGGTTTGAATTAGAAAAATGCTTGATGAATGTGGTTTCAACCCTTTCCATAAGCTTGGTAACCTGCAATGACCCAAATTGAATCATAAAAATTGGCCTTCTCTTTTTCTTCAATTTTTTTTTTTTTTTTTTTTTTCAGAGAGGAAAATTTAGTTTAGCACTTGCAACAAATAAAACTTGAATTTCCAAAATGATCCCAACATGGGCCGTTCTACTATTTGTCCTTTTAAACTAGTAAAGGATTAATTTTTACCTAAAAAATCAACCTTTATCAACATTTCTAAGCACTCATTTTCAATCTTATCATGGAGCTGATCACATCGGGATCAATGCTCCATTTTCCTTCCAACTCTGCTTGGTTCATGAGATAACTGAAGCAAAAGAAACCAAATCAAACACTCATCACTAGGCTTACTTGAGTTCCATATCTCAACAAGAAATGGGATGATGGTTTAAAACAACGAACCTTCATTGAACCATTAACCATCGTTGTTGTTCTTGGGAATTTGGGTAGTTGTTGAATTCAACTCTGTGAACGGTCTCATTCGCGCATATATACTAACACCTTTCGCTAGAGTACTCTTCAAAATATGGAAATTTTTGTATGTATTTTCTCGGATTTCCCGAACCAAATCACCTCTGCTTTGAATCTAAAGAGTGGAGAGAAATTCCTGACCTACCTCTGTGGCTGATTTTCATGATGCTCATGGCAAAGTCGTCATTAACTCTCCTCACTCTCTAGAATATTCTAGAAATTTCCACATGAATTTAAAATACTTTGGAAAAATCTAGAAGACTCTAGAAAGAACTAGAGAAATTTAGAAGATTCTAGAAGATTCTGGAACATTAACAAAGTTTGGATAAAATTAGAGAAATCTAGAAAGTTCCAGAAGGTTCTAGAATATTTTAGAGAAGAATAGAAATCTCTAATATGTACTAGAGTGATCTAGATTGTTCTAGAGTGTAGGAAAAGTATGAATGTATTTTAGAAAGTTCTTCAACTAGTATAAATATGAGATGAGTGCATGTACTTAGTAATTGGACAATTGAGTGAAAGGAGAGTGAGTCCAAAGTGAGTGGTCAAGCACTATCTAGTGTGAGGTGTCTCAAGGTCTTGTTCAAGGAAGACACAAAGTGTGAGTGCTTGAATGTATATGTAAGTGAATAAGTGAGGTGTATTAATGCGTGATTGTGTATAAGTGTTTTGTATACTAGAGTGTTATGAATAAAGGTTGTATTTCCGGATCCACCAGTGTGTCAAACTCAACAACTTGGTATCAAAGCTTGGTCATTTCGGAGGTCAACACGAAGAGCTATTGAGATTGATAAAAGAAATTGTTGAAGTCAACGAACACAGTTGTTATGGTAGATTTCGGAAACTTCATCGGTGGATCTATAGGAGATTGTTGGCGGCAAGGAAACTATGTCACCTAGAGAAGAAAATGCAGAGGCCTTGCGAAAGTGGCAGATTAAGACTGGAAAAGCAATGTTCGTGTTAAGGACAACTGTTCAGAAAGAGTTATTGGAGTATGTTCGGGATGCTACTACTTCAAAAGCAGTCAGGGACACATTTGCGATGTTGTTTTCGAAGACAAACGATTCACGACTTCAGTATCTAGAGAACGAGCTCATAACGGTGACACCAGGATCAATGACTATCAGCCAATATTTTCTCAAGGTAAAGACTTTTTGTAATGAAATTTCTCAACTTGATCCCGAGTCAAAAATTAGCGAGTCAAGAATGAGGTGCATTATTACTCGAGGTTTAAGACTCAAGTATAGTGGACTTATGGCCTCTGTTAGAGGATGGTCCACTCAATCATCACTGGTTGAGCTCGAAAGTCTATTGGCGAAACAAAAAACTCTAGCAAAGCAAATGGATGGAGTCACACTAAAGAATGAAAGTGAAGAAGATGCGTTATTCAGTAGCAAGAAAAAAGATAGACCGAAGTGGCAAGAATATGGAAAATCGAAGAAAAAAGAAGATGAATAATCACAAGATGATCGAAGTTATCAATGAGGAGGAGTTTGACATGATGAAAATGATCGAAGAGTTACCATATTTGGACAATGCAACATAAAGTGCTTCAAATGTGGCAAGATTGGCCACTACACAAAATATTGTTGGTTAAGAAAGAAGACCAATTGAAGGTAATATGGTAACATCTAATGGTTACCAAGATGAGAGTGAAGAAGAATGAGATTTCCAAGCTTCATGTGCAATGTTCAAGACCGTGGAACTAGGTTACTTAGAAGAAGAACTAGAATTTGAAGAAAAATGGGATTTTGAAGCATCTTCTATTATGTTCATGGTTACTGAAGTAGATTCAGAAGAGGAGATAAACTTTGATAAAGGCGTACATGAGCAGTGCAATGCAGTTACCAAGGAAATGGATGCATACTCTATTACAAATGAGTCGACTCCTACAGCTAAGTCTCAATCTTCAAGAGTTAAAGATCCATAAGCTCATCTACCAGAGAAGTTGAGAGAGCAAACAGAAGAAGAAGAAGTTGAAGAAGTGATAAAGCTACAGCAATCAATATCTGTAAAGCAATGTCAAAACAATCCAAGGTATGTTGATGCAACCTTTGCTAAGATTGATGATATAAAGGAGCTAATAACATTTCAGGAAACAATAAGATTTAACAATTAGAGGAAGACAACAAAAACAGATATTGATGCATCAACACATTCAAACGTGGCACTCGTTATCTAAATTAGAGAATGAGAATCCTACAATTGGCCAAGGACGTGGTGTTCCATGGAAGAATAAATCATTTCAAATAGAAGAAGTCATTATTGGAAGAGATGGAGACAGATTTATTGTGGCAAAGGACCAGGGTGCAGAAATACTCACGAAGAGTTTCTAAAACAACGTGGCGAGGTTACATAATCCAGAAAAGAGAGTTAGTGTTGAGGCGGAGTGTTGAGAGTCATCACTAACTCTCCTCACTCTCTAGAATCTTCTCTCTAGAATATTCTAGAAGTTTTCACATGAATTTAAAATACTCTGGAAAGATCTAGAAGATTCTGAGAAGAAGTAAAGAAATTTGGAAGATTCTAGAATATTCTAGAAGGCTCTGGAACATTAAAGAGGTTTAGAGAAAACTAGAGAAATCTAGAAAGTTCCGAAAGGTTCTAGAATATTTTAAAGAAGAATAGAAAGCTCTAAGATGTATTAGAGTGATCTAAATTGTTCTAGAGTGTAAATAGGGAAAGTATGAGTGTATTCTAGAAAGTTCTTCAACTAATATAAATATGAGATGAGTACATGTACTAATTAATTGGACAATTGGACAATTGAGTGAAAGAAGAGTGAGTCCAAAGTGAGTGGTCAAACACTATCTAGTGTGAGGTGTCTCAAGGTCTTGTGCGAGGAAGACACAAAGTATGAGTGCTTGAATATATGTATGAGTGAATAAGTGAGGTGTATTAGTGTGTGATTGTGTACGAGTGTTGTATACTAGAGTGCTATCAATAAAGGTTGTATTTCTGAGTCCACCAGTATGTCAAACTTAACAATTGAATTCAACTCCGTGAATGGTCTCATTCGCGTATATATACTAACACTTTTTGTTCGAGTACTCTTCAAAATACGAAAATTTTTGTATGTATTTTCTCAAATTTCCCGAACCAAATCACTTCCGCTTTGAATCTGAAGAATGGAGAGAAATTCCTGACCTACCTCTGTGGCTGATTTTCATGATGCTCATGGCAAAGTCGTGCCGATTGTAGAGGTCGGATTTTATGTTCTTAAGCAGGCTCGCCGGTGAGGGAAAGTGGTAGTGGTAGTGGACTACTTACTGGGGACCGAAGAAGAGTCATTGAGAAGGAAAGTGGTAGTGGTACTAATGGAAGACGGTGGTGATGGGTGGTTTTTTTTACCTGTTTGTACTCATTCACATACTCACCCACACAACTTGCAATCTCCAAAGCTTCCTGGTGGACTAGGTTAAATATTGTTAGATGAGAGAGTGAAGAAAACCACCAAACTACATTCATCATCATCATGTAATTCCCTTAGGCAAATCTCCAAACCAAACCCACTGTTGATGGTAATGGGTGGTTAAATGGCCTTTGAAAGGGGTTGTTAGCCCCAAGGTTATTCAATTCTAAGTTTCTATTGATTTTGATTATGAACAAATATTTTGAACTTATTTTGTTATTTGAAGTTTTCAAAATAAAAATATAAAAAATTGCACTTCATAAATTCTAGAAGTCATATGATTCTAAAGTATCATTTTTAATGATTTTTGGGGCTTCAAGACATGAGCATCAAAACTTGGTTGCAAAACTCTATCTATACTTAAAACAGGTCTAAGTGTCGACACCAAGATGGCAAGGGTCGACACCAGAATGAGGCTTAAAATTTACAAGTGTTCTAGCTGCAAAGGTCGACACCAAAATAGCAAGGGTCAACACCAAATTTCATAATGCAATTCAGCAGCAAGGGTCGACACCAAAAACTACAAAGGTCGACACCAAATTTCAGAATGTATTTTAGCAGCAAGGGTCGACACCAAGAAAGATAAAGGTCGACACCAGAGACATTTGAGACTCAACACAGAGAAGAGAGAGAAACAAAAGGTCGACACCTAAATCTGCAGGAGTCGATACTTGTAATATCTAGCTTTAAAAATTTAACCTGCCAAATCAGATCCAAACTACTGCAGATCGTTTCTCAGTCACTTTTTTAGAGTTCTGTGCATAATATGTCATCTTTTCTAACCTCTGAACAGATCTTCTGGAACCATATCCCCTCCAAGAAGTTGACCTATGCAGAAGAGCATTATAAATAAAAAGCATGTGCATTAATTGATCCTTCCCTTCTTAAGACCTGTCCATAGTCTGCAACTCATCATACTCTGATCAAACAACAGTTGGAAGATATCATGTTTGATCTTCTCCAATAGCTAGAAATTTCAAAGCCTCTCTCTTGTCAACGGTGAAACCATTAATGCTATAAAGATGAAGCACTTCCTGTACATTCAATACACTTCAAAAGAACACAACAAGCCTAGTGCATTCAAGAGCAATCAAGAGCTTTTATTATACTCTATTTTGTACTTCCACTTTCATATTTGAGTGAGACTTAAATTACTTAAGAGCTTACACTTTTATATCCATCTCTTGTGAGAGAATATTTGTAAAAGAGGACAGTTGTACCTCTTATTCTTGCTCCTTATTTTCTGAGTGACACACCTATAAGGTGAGGGTTTTAGTTTGAGAGGTCCTCAACAAATTGAAGTAAGTCCTTGTAAAATCCATACGCTAGGTGAAGCTTGGTGGTGCATCTATTCATAGTGGAGAAATTCTCAAGAAGGTGTCTTGAGGAGGGGACATAAGACGGTGAACCGAACCACTATAAATCCTTATGTCAAACTCTTATTTCCTTTTCTTTCATTTTCTGTGCATTCATTTATTATCATCTTTTTAATCACTTAGTATTTCTAATTTATTCTTGAACCAGATTTTTTAATTACCCAATTCACCCCTCTTGGGTTGCCTACTTAAATATCAGGGGTGATTATTCAATATTCCCAGAATATGGACACGTGGTGCTTCATAAGGTTTTGATCGGTAGAGAAGGGTAGGGCCCACGATTTATGTTGGAGATAAGAGAACAACATGAGGCTAAGTAATTGATAATTAGCTTGGAATATGATCACGTGGTGTTCTGGGGTTACTGAATAATTTTCTCTCTGAAAGTGGTGAAGAGAGTTGAGTCTATCCTACGTGATAAGGTGTACAATATGTTGATAATTGATGGTTCTCATTGGGTGGAGGTTTTCAAGAACACTCTCCTTTAAATTGATGGTGCGAGATCTCGTCTATTGAAAAGAGTGCGTGTGAATGCAATTCGTTTTGTTATTTTACAGGGATTGAGATGTTTGTAATGCAAAATTTTCATTACATTAGATGATTTAAAAGTTATCAAATAATCATCACAATTTATTAATATTTTAAAAAGAATTGTTACAAATTCCTAAATAATGTAATAGAAATCCTCTATTATCACTTTAGAATAAAAAATATTATAATATTTAATGTGGTATTGTGTATTAGTTTTTAAATCAATTTTATTAATTTTCTAGTTGTTGTATACTAGTGGTGTGTTTGATATTGTAATATTTCTTATATTCGTTGGGCAAGTTTTAGTTTTAACTAGAAAGTTAAAAAGTATCACATCACTCTTTTTATATTTCTATACATCTTTTCATAAAAAGTTACTAAGTTACTAAAATAATATGCTCCTAAATAGATTGGCAAAAAAAAAAAATTTGTACATATTGATGATTTATTTGATTGATTTAATTTTTTGACGTGAATAATATAAACAAAGGTCTTGACAAAATAAATAATTTAAATTACTGAAACAAAATTCATGATAAGTTTCACATACCTAAACAATATCTTTCTGTCCAAATCATGGACGGAATGGGGTCTAAAGTGTTCAAAATTTCGTTAAAGATAAAAAGGAACCTCAGAAAATATCATACTCACTTCATCGGAGCTGCCAAGGTAGGAGCTGTCTACCATCTTCAAGTAAGCTTTTGATGCATTTCTTGAAGTTATCTTCAACAATTAGGTATAAAACAAACAACATAAAGTTAATAAATAAAAAATAAAAATCTAATTTCCATCCTTGACCAAACCAAATAGAATTTTGAAGACTGCTGAGATGGAAAGAGAATTTGGGTTTTTGAGATAGAAAAATATACCTTGTCATATTTCTTCATGATCTTTGAAAAAGCCAAGATATTCAAGAAACTGTTCATTTATTAGAACAAATATCAAACGCATTTTCATATAAAAATCTCTACATGGAAAACATTTTTCTACGAAAAAGTTTTTTTTACAATAAAAGACTTTTTCTAAGTTTCGTTTGCCACCATAATTCAGAAAAAGTTTTTTTTATCTAAACAAATGAAGCAAAAAAACATCCTAAATTACCCTACCTGTAGCTCTTAAGAAGGCGAAGCTTGTGATAAAACTCAACGAAAGCCCGCTTAAGTTGTGATTCAACTTTCTTTAGATTTTCCCTGCTGAACTTAATCTCATTGGAATCATGAACACTGAGAAAGCTTTTGATGGTGGAACGAGGAGTCTCAGGATTGTTGTTCATCTTCACATGACTAAGTATTTCCAATGGGGTTGGTCTACTACCCCTCAAGTTCTTTAGCTTATTGTGTTCTTTGCCATTTTGCTTGATGGTTTTGATCTCATTATTCACAAATTTATCATCACTAGCATATTGATCATCTAGGTCATGACCATGGTTGTTTGACCCCTCTTCATGTATTTCTTCATGTATTACATCCATGGAAGCTCTTCCTACACACATTAAGCATATTTAAGAGCATCATTCAGGATATTTAGGTATTTTGCCTAGTCTTATTATATAATGGAGTTTCAACCGGATAAACAATACGATAAGTATTTTGTCTCATCTCCTATTGACTAGTTACAATTGGAGATTCAAAAAATCAATTTCAGGAATAAAGAGTGGTATGAAAATATACAATAAATAAAATATAATAATTAAAAAAATTTGTGTACTTTTGTTGGGCAAAATACGTGTTAGTGTTGGAGTTGGGCACTTGGCTTTAAAATTTACATCGGAGGCATATGTCAAATGCCAAGTATGCAATTGGCATATTGATTGGAGCATTTAAAATTTAAAATTTTATTATTTCACACGGTACATGATAAAATTGACATCTCCAATGAAAATACTTTGAGGTCGCTTTTCTCTCTTTCAAAATATTAATTTTAACATAATAATAGTAAAAAATAAACATGAGACGTTAGACTGTCACACATATTTTTGTTTATAGTGTGTTAATGAAAAAAAATAAAAGGGAAATATCATATTAGTGGTATTTGTAAAAGATAATTATCAATCAATGATAAATTTTAAAAATATTAATAATTAAAATCATCAATTTTTTCACAATTTGTAATTATTTTTTCAAACTACTCATGATTTATAATTTCTCGAAAAAAGGAAAGGACATATAATTTGATATTGAGTTATGGTAGGAATCCTAAATAATCTACCAAACTTTTTTTCCAATTACATATAAATTTGTGTAAGTGCCATACTATTTAATAAATTATTTAAAATTCATAACATTTTCCTCTGATATTTCTCATATTGCTACACTGTCACTAATATAAATTCGTTGCAGTTGGCACAGTTGTAAACCTTGAATAAGACATGAACCTTAAAAGTCAACAATTACTATCTACAATAGAATCCTTGAAAAAAAGGACACCAAAGCTAAAAATCTTTCTTTGGAAAGAGTTGTACAAGTTTTGAAACATAATTATGTATTAATAACAAAGGATTTTGTTAACAAGTGTACTAAATATTGTTAATCACTTCCACTATGATAGAAAAGAACAAAGTCAATAAATATGTTTTTGTTAGAGATTAAACTATTATTTTCTCTAATTTCTTGTATTTTAAAATTATATACCCTTTGTAATAGAGGCTTTTTTAATATTTTTTAAATCATAAAAGTAAATGCATTTTATTTTTAAATAACAGTTCGCATATTTTTTTAAATTTCCTTAAATACCCTCTATTTTCAATCATAATTAAATTATATGGTGTAAGGAAAATACAGAACATTTTTTTTTTGTGATTTTTTTTAAATTTTTATATGCCTTTTATTTTTATAACAAATATAAAAAATTATATGTCCTTTATTTTATTTTACTTTTAATTTTTAGATTCATTTTTATTAAATCATATGATTAAAAATCGAGGGAATTTAATTTTTTTTTAAAAAAATTGTGAAATGTTATTTAAAAATAATGCAATTACTTTTATGATTAAAAAAAATGTTTAAAAAAAATCTATTACAAAAACTATATAATTTTAAAATAGAAGGAATTAGAGAGAAAAAAAAAAGAAGAAGGTAATTTAGTTTTTAACAAAACTATATTTATTATCTTTCTTATTTTCTATGAAACTGAAGGTAAACATAACCCAATAATAAATTTTATAAGCATTAAAATATTAAATTATAAAGTTCTCTATTAATGTATAAATGTTTTTTTGAAAGTACCACCTGTGTAATTACCCATATAACCAAAGCCTAGTAAGAATTTTGTTTTCTGTTATTTTTTTATACTTCTTTTCTAAAACAAAAAATTTGAAAACGAGAGCATTTTGATTTTTTTTTTTAAAAAAATTTCAAATTAGTTTAATTTTTTTTAAAATCTTTTAAAACCAAAAAAATTATTTTTACTTACTTTAAATAAAAAGCTCTCACTCTCTCCTCTCTCTTCCCAGCGGTTTGATTTTTAGTCAATTTCTGTATTTTTATCTTTCAGCTTCTATAATTAATTTTCTAAATCCGAATTTGTTATTTTTCTTTCAATTAATTCCTATTTTATACAACAATCTTAAAATAGATTTATTGAGTTTAAAAGGGAAAAACAAAACAGATTCTTTTTGCAAAGTAAAACATATTACTGTCTTATTTTTCTGTAAATTTTGGGGATTCTGAAATTTCTTGTTCTCTACAATTTTTCTAAAATAAAAAATTAGAACAACTTTTTGTTAAAATTATTTTGGCTTTAATTTATGTTGTTGGCTGGAGTTAGTAGCTTATAATTGTGAGTCAGTTTACTTGTTTGCTTCTAGTAATTTATTTTTGTGTTTTTTTTGTTTATATTTAATTCAGGAATGGTAGGTATCATGAAATTTTTTTTATAAAAATAATCATAAAAACTTTGTGATCCTTGAATTACACTTAGAATAAAGTACCACACACTAATCAAGATAATTAAAAAATCATAAATCTTCCATGAATATTTTCGTGAAAAAATTTTTTTAACCCCTAACTTTTCTCTATTTAATTCCTGTCTTACACAACAGTTTTTCTTAAACAAAAAACAAGAAACACTTACTGCCAGTTCTAGGCCCCGACGGAGTAGTAGCCGCTAAAGCCGCCGCCGAAGCTGCAACACCGGAAGCAAGACGAGTCATCTCCACCGATCTATCAACAATCCAACTCTCTCCACCATCAACCTTTATCCTAAAAGCAATCAAAGCCTCCATTTGCTTATTCAACATCGCAGCCTCTTTCATAACCTCCTCAACTTTCTCTCTATAAAACTTAACCACTTTATTAAACTCATCATCAAGCCTTCTAAAATATACAATCTCGTACTCTCCTCCTTCATCGGCGGATCTTAAAAACATGGTCTCGTACTCTTCCTCGCCTTCTTGTCGCCTCACCGAGTTTATCAATATGGGTTGGCTTTCGATGTCTGTGGCGCTGTTGGGGGTTTTGGGAGAGGTCATTCGCTGTGTTAGGCCACTGAAAGCTCGGTAGAGAGTTAACCGTCGTTTCAAGTCCGGTGTTGGGACTGTGGAGGGTCGTCTTTGTTTGAATCGGATGATGTTTTTGAGGAGGGTTTTGAGATGGTTGTAGTTCATGTATGCTTCTTGCCATTCTGGTATCATTTGGGACTCGAATTCTTTGCCGAACTTCATGGTTTGTGAGCTCTATGAGGTTTAGAAGGGGAAAAAAAAAAGGTGGTGTGAGAAGAGGGTGTTGTTTATGAGTTTTGTTTAAGAAGGTGAGAATTGAGAAATTGAATGCAATAAATGGGTGGTTGGGATGTTTTCTTGAATGAGATTGGAGATAGAGACCCATCACCAAAGTTTTGCATTTGGTTCCGATTACTTCTGGGGTGGCTGAGATTCGCTATATTCAGTGTGTTTGTCTCATGGTTTTAATAATTGTATTATTAGTATTAGTAATACATCATATATTCATAGATATTAGAGATTAATGAAATATGTTAATGGATAACGGTATTAAAATATCAAAATTTTGTTAACTAACAACTGCTATATCGATATTTAAAATCTGGTTGGTATGAATGTAAATATGCTAGAATTTCTGGTGTAAATATTTAAAAGGTTGACGTTGTCCTCCCACTGTTGAGAGCTTCTATTTGCACACACCTATTACTTTTTATACACATCTTTTTTAATAAATAATTGGTTCAGAAGTAACATTTTGAAAATAAATAATTGGTTCAGAAGTAGTTTTTCAAAAATAAACAATTAGTTCGAAAGTAGACTTCCAAATGTGTTTATTTGATATCTATAATAGTAATTTCACTTGAAAAAAAATTTATAATAAAAATAATTTTTATGAAATGGGTGCAAAGAGGGGATTGAGGATGTGTAAATAGAAGTTCCCCCCACTATTTCATTTGTATGAGTTTACTAACATTGTGTGTGATGGGAGGATTTAAGAAGAGATTTGAAAAAAAAAGAAAATTATGTAAAATTATATGAAATATAAATATATTTTATTCACATTTCACATAATTTTTTTTTTTTCGTTTCTAAATTCCTACTCAATTTTACTAACTAAACACAATATTATAGGATACGAGCAATTATTTGAGCGGGTAGTTTAGGCTGGTAAAATGCGTTATATATCTTCAATGTTGATAATAAATGTGATGTTGACATTACAAAATAGTTTATACGAATAGGGCAATACCAACAAACGAAAAAAAAAATAAAAATTTAAATGTAATCCTAAGAAGTGTTATCTATTAATAAAAAGTAACAAATATGAATGATGCTTAGTTTGGGAAGTTGATTTTGGTGGGTTAAGGGTTAAAATAGTTACAAAAAATAAAATAAGGTATTTTAGTCACAAAAAACAAAATCTAAAATTCAACCTATAATCATTACACTCATCTCTCACAAAAAAAAAAAAATCAAAAAAGTTAAAAAGCCCTTCTCAAACCAGACTTTTTAGCCTCAGGCTAAAATAGTCAAAAAGTCAAAAAACCAACCCACTTTCTAAACAGAGATAACTTTTTTTTCTCCGACCAACATTGCTTCCAATTGAAATTAAAGAAGAAGAAAAACCCAAGGAGTGGGTTGATAAAAGAAAAAATAAGATTTTGAAATTCAATATAAAGATATTATTGAAATAAATAGATAATATATTTAATGAAAACTTTTTTGATATATATATATCAAAAAATAAAAAATCTCAATACATATCTATTTATTTCAATAATATCTTTATATTGAATTTCAAAATCTTATTTTTTCTTTTATCAACCCACTTCTTGGGTTTTTCTTCTTCTTTAGGCCTCGTTTGGGAACAGGCTAATTTAGTAACTTTTTGGCTATTTGGCTAAAAAGGTAAGTAAAAAAAACTTGTATATTTGGGATGACTTTTTGGCTAATTACGAAAAGATGTGCAAAAAGTAGAGAGAAAAGAGAATCTTTGACTTTTTGGAGAAAATTATTGCTTCTTTAGCTCACTGTACTAAAATTTTGCTGCATCAAGACTTTAAGTAACTAAATTTGTGATGATCAACATCTCTCTCTCTCTCTCTAAAAAACCTCTCTCTTTCTAAACCTCCACCCCGGGTCTCGCTGTTGGCCAGCCGGCCGTCGCCTTTGGCGATGGCGGTCGGCTGGCCTCGCCTCTTTCGTGCATGATCGTTGTTTTCTATTTTAATAAACTTGAATCCCCATAGTTTTTCCATTTCCTTTTCAGTTCTGTTGGGTGTTTGGGGTGGGTTTCAGTCTTGGGGGGTTTCGATCATGGAAGGCGCCTTGAATATGGGAGGGTTGGATTTGTTTTGGAACTTCATTCGTGCGCTCCTACGCAAGTGGGAGTTTGAGGGGTGGATTTCAGTCAGATCTGTGGAGGCCGGCGTTGGGCCGATTAAAGAGTTGTTGGTCTTGGGGGAGTCCGGAGTGGGTGAAGTCCGGCGTGGGAGTTACGGCCATAGCAGAACAGCAGATCGTGGGGGTTCTTGTTGGGTGTAAGTGTTTGTCTCGGTGGGTGTCTCGATATTGGAAGTACTGCAAAGGGAGCAGTGCTACGGCGTGGGAGTTCCGCCAGAGAATTCGAGTAGCAGCACAGCAGAACGGAGATGTCAGGCGTGGGAGAAGGCTGGTGGAAGGAGTTTCTTTAGGCGTGGGAGAAGGCAGGTCTGCCGGGTTTGTGCAGCGGTGGAGGCAAGGAGTTTTTCCGGCCATGTTGGCTATGGAGTTTTCCGGCCATGGAACGTCCAGTGATATGTCTTTATAGGATCATATTTTGCACAACTTTTGTACTTATTGTATCGGCTCACACAGTGTGGTAGATTACTAGTAGGAAGGAGTGTTAATGTGAAGGGAGGAGTCGGCAGGTGGGCGTTGTGCAGGGTTCTGGGCTGGCAAAGTTGTGCAGGGTTCTCCATAGCTGGCAGGTTCGGCGTGGGAGTGTAGCAGGCGTGGGTGTGTGGCAGCATATAGGTGAATAGACTAGTGTTGTCAGGCGTGGGAGTGTAGCAGGTGTCGTTGGGTGTTGTAGCAACATAGGTGAATAGACTTGGTTTTAAAAAATAGCAAGTTGGCGTAGGGAGTGAAGCAGATTTGGATTTGGTGTTGGGTTTTGGCTGTGGCTTTGGGTTTTGTGGGTTAATTTTGTGGGGATTCATGTATTTTATTTTTTAGTTAAGTCCTTCTTAACTTTTTTTTTGTTAAAAAAAAATAAAAAATAAAAAATAAAAAAACCGTGAGGCCAAGGGGTTGGTTGTATGAGTGTGAGTAGCAGTAGTAGGGCTATTTTATACTTTCCGAATCTCTCTCGATACATGTCATCTTCCTGTACCTTTAATTTCATGCTGTTAATGAAATTTTTTTTTGCTGATAAAAAAAAAACCCACTCCTTTTTCGCCAATCATATCTGGCACTCTCAGCCCTCCATACCACCACCATCTTTCTCATTTCATCCACTTCCATCCTAAACCTTTTCAATCAACCTCAAAAATTAGTAATTCGCAATAGAGAACTTGTGAAAGTGTATGATTCATGATAAAAATTAGTTGCGAGTGGAGGGAAAAGGAGACGGAGAAAGGAGAGATGGCAGAGAAGAAAGGTAGCGCTAGCGATGAATGATGATTATGATGTCTTAAAATTAAGTTTTGGACAAAAGAAAATAAAGGTATTATGATATTTTTTTTATTTTAAAACAAAATTATATTAAGAAAAAATTTCATTAAGTGTATACACTAAGAAAAATTTGTGTGTGAAAATAGAATTGCTCAAGATTGGAAGAGATTGAAAATGGTGATGATGGATGGTGGCTAGTGATGGAATTAAAAAAAAAAAAAAAAAAAAAAAAAAAAAAAAAAAAAGAAAAGGTGTAGTGTTCTCGACAACTTTGAAATTTTTAATGAAAAGACATAACCCTCAAGTCAAGATATTTTTTTTGAGGATAATTTTGTTCATTCATTATTAATATAGAATTATGGCATTGACAGTTCAGTTTAAATTTTCATTCTTTTATTTTTATTTTTTGTCTTTAAAGTTCTTACCACTTTTTTTTATTTTTTATTTTTTTATTTTTTTTAAATGTGACAAACTAAAAATAAAACATGAAGATCATTACTCTTAGTATATTGTTCCGGCCGTAGATGATTGATAGCCTCAAATGAAATCAGATATTATCCGTACTATTTATGACAACTTGACTGATGTTTATAATTTTTTTGTGGTGATTTATATAACTATATATTTATATACAGATTAATCAAAGGCTTAATTCAAAGAAGTCGGCTAGTTATTAGGTTACTATGAGGCAATGCGGGGCCACATATAATTTTTTTAATTTATTTTTGCTCATATACAATTATAACGTGTTAGAAATGGTTTTTGAAAAAATTTGGTAAAATAGAATTTTTTTTTAACTTTGGCTTAATTTTTAGGTGGGATTCTTGTGTCAAATTTGGCGGGTCTAAGTAGTAATGTGTTCTATGCCGCGTTGTGATTCACATGGTATATTTGGTTGCTCAAAGCTATTATCGGGTGAATAAGAAATTAAAACCAAAGTGAACTCTATGAAAATGGAGTTTTTAGTGAAAAATTTCTTAAAATTTGAATAAAAGCTTATCCTATATTGGTTTGATGGGAAGAATTTTATGGGTTTATAAAACTTGGTATTGTAACTTGGGGAGGGCGCCAAGGGGCACTCCAAGTGTGTAGAAGAGAGAGGTTATGGGCGAATTAGGCTAGACTCATTGGATCTAAAAATAAACACACGCGTGCACCGCCGCCGTCCGAGCGGCCTGGGCTTAGGCTCCAGTGTGTGTTATGTGGTTGGTTTGGACTTGTTCGGCCCAATACTCATCTTTTTGGGCTAAAAACATTTGAATTTTATTTTTTTTTAAATTAAATTCTAATTTTTTGAATTTGAATTTCAGAAATTAAATTCCAAATTGGGTCTGGTTTTTTCCCACCCGAACAGATTTGAATCTGTTTAAATTTCAAAAAACTCGATTGGAATTCTATGCAGGTTGATATTTGTCGAAATTCAAATTTGAACCCAAACAGTTCCAATTCAAACCCAACAGGTTAAGTACCTGTTCAAATAGGTATACTACATGTCTAATTCAAACTAAAAAGGTACCACTGCATCTATAAAAAAGACAAGTCCCTCATTTGTTTTTACTCCAAATTTTCGTCTAAATAATTATGCTTTTGCTCTCTGC